ACACAGAGCCAAGGAGTGACAGAGCCGATGCGATGAAGTCTCTTAGACTCCTTCAAGTTGCTCGTCCATGAAATATGGACACTGGGTTAGGTAGATATGTATGTAATCCATTGTCAAATGCATTCTTTGTTTTACTTGACCCGATTTGCATGTCTGCTCTGTCTTTGAGTGTGCCATATACACTCACTCATCTCACCCCTATCACTCACTTCAGCGCTCGCCCCCACTTGACGCAATGGAGGTCATAGCAATTATTTTGCCTTGCAAGCAAAAGTTCATTGTTAATTGACAGTCACTGTGTAGGTAATGAAAAGCACAGTTAAGTATGCGCCGAGGTGAGCTTCTCAAACAAGGCTACTTACGTAAACGACAACAAAAACAATAACATAGGTAGCAGCATACATACAATGAAAGCATAAAACAACTGGCAAGCAGATAAGTAAGTACAAGCGCAGACAAAAGGCTAACACTAATGAGGCGTTGTTGTTGGCTGAGTAGCAGCAGCAGCGAGACAGCAAATATTGTTTATGACAGAAGTATGTCACAACTTTTTGTGACGTAAAATCAATGTGCGCTGGGTGGTTGGGCGTTAGGAATGAAAGGTATTTGAATTAGCTGATACCAGCAGCTGTTGCCGTTGAATTCATCCACAGATGTTTATGTATGAATGTATGCAAAATGCTTGTGAATTCAAGTGCGTCTTTCAAAATTTACACCGTTGCCGTCGCCATTTTCTTTCAATTATTTCAATAATTTATTGTCTTTAATTAGTTGCTCAGCTCATTAACGGTTGCTGTTGTTGACTTGGCAGGTTGTTGTCAGGTCAAGATTTGTTTATTTAATGCTTTTGTTAAATTAATTAATTGCAATCAATTACATATTTACGCAATGGTTGAGGGGGGGAAATCACTTGTTTATGATGTTCGTCTTTTCTCTTTGGCGATGTTTTGAAAGCAAAAAGTCATATGCCACTTCTGAATAAGTATTGCTTAAACTCTAAGTAAGTACTATTTCTTTACTATTATTATACTACTTCTTTAATAAAGTAGTATTCTTTAAGATATTATGTTACATATGCCACTTCAGAATTAGTTATTATATATGGTATATTTCTAAATAAAAAAAATGATCCACAATTTAAAGCCACCTGACATTGTCCAGATGGCAGTTTTGTTTTCTCAAGCATGCCCAGTTAACTGCCTACCCGAAATTTCCCACAAGCTAATTCTACAATGGTGTATGGAGCTTTTTTGTTATAATATGCCACTTCTGAACTAGTAGATAAGGATTTCGGTTCAAAGAATAGCTTCTGAGCACAATTTTTACAGCGTCGTCGGAGCGCCCAAGCCGTTTAAGTTTTAAAAGATGAAACGAAAAGTTTAATAGAGATAGTTTCATTGGAGATTTGTGACTGTTTCTTGATATAAATCTGTCATCAAACGATTCTTCTTTAGCTGCTAATTGGAAGCAAGTTGAAAAATGCAAACATTCTCAAACTTTACGTATTTAGCAGACCGAGCTCATCGTTTATTTACTTGTACTGAAAGAAAAAAAGGGTTTAGTAAATATATTTTTAAATTAATAAGTTAATAATTAGACTCAATCAGTATTCCTCTTGATCATAGATTGACTATAATATTTTATTTATTTTATTTATCTTGGCAATACTGTATAAAAATAATTTTTTTACTTAGAGGTTTTTCCAGACTTTGTTCTCACCAAGTTTATTAGAAAAATAGGTTTAAGTGCGCTTTCTGACTGACAATCACTTTTGATCTCTCATGTCACACGGGACACTTGAATATATGAAAATTATAAGATTTTGAATTGTTGTTTTAAGAATTTCCAACTTTATTTGACATTTTGAGACTTTCAACGCACCACTTACTCACCTCTCATCTGGAATTATCGCTCACTGCAGCGTAAAATATCCAAACTCTCAGTATAAATACTTCCTCCAACCACAGCTGTTGCGTTGCATTGCAGCAATTAATAATTCCAAAGCAATATGTCATTTACACATTCGTGCTCGCCTGCTGTGATTAGTCCACCGACGCTCCCCTGCTGTTGGTAAATTTGCTGACGCCCATTTTTCAATAAAATTTTCATTTATAAAAACTTAACATTTTTTCTTCGTTTTTTTTTCAAACACGATTTCCTTGATGCATTCGTGCTGCAGGAAACCGCCCGTTCTCACACTCTCCGCACAAACCACAATATTGTGGCTATTGCAGCGTCATGTGTGTGTCCATTGTATTGGTGTTAACTCCAGCTGTGTTTTTGAACCAACAAATCGCAGACCTACGAACGGATGGATGGACCTTCGAACGGCTGACTCAGTCTCAGCACCTCAGGTAGGCGTCCCACTCGCATGTGAGCCACAGAGCAAAAATGCCAATGCAGACAAAGTGAGTGCAATGCAATTAAGTGTGCATACATGTGTGTGTGTGTGTATAAGTATGTGAACACTCTCTCAAACACACACTCTCTATGCAACGAACGAATTGCGGTTGTGTATCATTTGCGCCAGCTGAGTTTGCGCCCACATCCTTTTGTATAAAATTTTGTTCATTTTTTTTCTGTTTTTACACTTAATATGATTTTCCATTTTCCAGCCAGGTTTTCACTTTTCCCCATACATATCTATGTACAATATTTACAATACAGTTACTCGCACCCTCACTGACCTTTAACAATTAAAATTGACGTGTGCCTTTGCCGCATTGTGGTTTTAAGCGATTTTTCTTTACTCTCACCTTTTCAAACACTCAAACAAAAGTCCGGACAACAACAAAGTGTGCATGTTTGTATTTGATTTTATTGTTTGTTGGTCATTTACTGAGAATTTACAAAGAGATTTATTTTTGAATAGTTTTTAGCCTACAAAAAGATTTTGCTAAATGGATTTGGAAAATTTGTTATTTCTAAAAGTTCGGAAATTCCATTTTACCTGCTCATAATTCAATGAAAATTCTCATTTATGAAGTTGCGCTGTTGTCAAAATAAATAATAGTATTGACCATACAAATTGTAGTTCAGCTTATTTTGGCTCGATTCGTTAGTGCAATGAGTGATTGGTAGAGGGTGATCAAGCAAATTTGAAAAATTCAGAACAAAAAAGTCTACAGTCAACAAATTCTTAAACGTAAATCGATTACTGGATTAAAGGTGACTGTTTTTATTTTGTATTCAGTTTTCAGTTATAATCAATTCAAAAGAATTTTCGTATTAATTTCCATAAATACCATGAGGGTTTTAAACGCTCTCAAATCTGCCCATACTCACACGTACACTTTTGTACCATACCCCGAATGTTGTAAGTCGACAAAGGATACTACACCTTAGAGCCTGAAGAATACTATAGAATTATAGCCAAGGTAAGTTTAAGCTTTAATACATATATTTTAAGGCTCGAAAAAAGGTTTTTCAGATTCCCTTGAAGTGGAGAATGGTATAGGTTCAACCATTTCATGGCTTCAAAAGTACAGGGCTGTATTTTGATAGCTGTCAAACTCAACTGTGAAATCAAATACGTTTTGTTGTAGTTAAGAGTCAGGCATTTATGAAAATAGATCGCTTAACAATTACACAATACGCTAGAATTGTTAAAACCTCAAAAGCTGTGGCAATTGGTAAACATTTCAAAGAAATCTAAAGAGACTAGTTGAGTTACAGGCTCGTTCCACCTCAAATACGGTAAGTGATGGTATAGCCGAGGAGCCTAGGGCGTCTATTTCTCTACGTTCTCAGGTGCTAGGACTTTTTACGACGTATTTTGCGCTCGGACCAACACCTACATCCATATAAAGTCCAGCTCATACAATAACTGAAGCCAGCTGATCATTTACACGGCCATACAAACGTCTATTGAGTGCTTGAATAACAAGCAGTGGACGGCTTTTCGAACAAATTTGACATTTCCTACTCCAAAAAGTTATAGAAAATTAATTCAAATAAAAAATAAAGCTAAATTTTCTAGTTACGGTCGCCCTTCGGCAGCGAATGTCAACCCCTCCGAATATATTTCGGACATGAAATAAAAGCTGCTCATAAAAAAACATCAGCCGTTCGAAGGCGGCTTAGTATAATCCCTCAATTTGCTGGAAAAAAACATTAAGACTAAAAACACAAATAGAGGATAAGCTCGAACGAAAACCACTTCAGCGGATACTGCTCAATTTGATCGAAGATTATCTCAAACAGATCAAAGTTTTCAAAACTNATAATATATATATATTTCTTTCACGACCGCCACTCTCAAACGATTCGAACGGCATCCAGCGGAATCGGGCACGAACTTATGCACTCATCCAATACATCATTCACCATAATGCCAGGGCTTAAACTTTATAATAAAACAGGAATTTCTTGAAAAAGAAAATTATTTTAAAAGCATTTTAGTTACTTTTATTTTCAAAACCTTTTAATGGATAACTCTATATTTGCATTTTTTTTCTAATTTCGAACTATAAAAGCCAACTCTCGCATGCTCATATATATCTCCATTGTGAGAACAAACCTAATAGTAGAAATTTACCATTCGACAGGAAAAAAAATGGATCAACAGCTCACTGATGCCATAATTTTTTTATTAGCCATAATTTTTCAATTAAAAAGCATTTTAAATTTTATTTTATTTATGTATGCGCAATGATGAGTGATGGACAAATTAGCACGACTATTAGTTAATTAAGGCATAAAAACAAATACAATATAATTGATAAATTACGCACAACTTGACAAAAAAAAAAAAAAATTGGAACAAATGGTACAAAATGCAGGGAAAATACGTCAAATAAATGTAAACAAAGATATTTGTACTATTTTTTATTTAATTTGCCAAATTAGCTAATTCGACCATATAAATAAAAATAAATAAAAAAAAATCTCAAAGAATATCTCTTACACGCTTATAAATTCTGTTGTACTCGTTACTTAACGCAGTGATAATTCAGATTTCCAGTGAGATAAAACCACCACCACCACTACCACCAACGTTAAAATGAAAATTTTATATATTTTGATTACCTTTGCTGCATTGGCTACTTTTGCCTTGGTAAGTGTTTTAAAATTTCTCAATAAAAATTTAGCTTTTAATAGCGAACTCTTTCCTATTCTCTCTTTTTTTTTTGAATTAGTGCGATTTACGTGTAGAAATGCGCAAATTTTTTAGTTATTGCCAGTTTGAAGCCAATGTGACCGAAACGCAGTTAAATAAATTCATTGACAATGGCATGTTGGCTAGCGAGGCCAAATCCAATATAAGATGTCTTGTAAAGTGTACTATGGAACGGTATGGACTCATTAGAAATGGCACTTATGACACTGAAAGAGCAATTCGAGATTTTGCTTCGAAAGTTCCAAAGCGTAAGGGTTTGGAGGAGGATGTTAAGGAAGCGGTGAATAAATGCAAAGCTGAGAAGGGTGCCGATGATTGTGATAGGGCTTTCAAGATCACCATGTGTATTAAAGAGTTTAAAACTCGTTTTCCTGAGGTTTAAGAAACCTTAGATTGCATTTATGAAGATTGAACTTAATTAATTCATATTTTTTATCTTACTTATAATTGAATTCAATAAAAATTCAATGAAAAATGTCCTCTATACGAAAAAAAAAAATCAAACAAAGTTTTAAACATCTTCTAAAGTGAACTCAGGAGGTCCTCGCTCCTCACCCAAAAAGTTACCTCACTCTCGTAAATTTTCGTAGTCATAACTTTGACGTTGTAGACGAACTCCTCTCCAGATGCAACACCGATTAAAATGCTAGCCTTAAAATAAACGAAGAATCACTAATGCATGTTTGGACAATTGAAAAGCAAAGTCCTTTCTCAATGAACTCAGACCAGACGCTATGTGTACCTTAACGCTCGCTCCCTGATATATGATGCGAAATTATGGTGAATAATAATTTTCAATGAGTTTCGTCAAAGATTTATAAATCTTTATGTACTAATAACGGCGAATACCATACCCGCTGCAACGATGAGCTGTACGAGTATAGCGAATTAATAAGCTGGGTGAGTCAGACACTCCTACTTTGAAAGTTTTTAATATCTGATCTGTCGAGGGAATTATAGGAAGATAAGACCTTCACTCTGTTGGAAAGAAAAAGGACGCGGCTTCACTTTGTGTTCCAGAATAAAGCAGAGACGAAAATAGCAATTAGTGCCTACTCGTGTTAGGCAGCGGAAGAAAAAGAAGAACGACATCCAGAAGGGATACGAGTTTCCAAGTATATTTCCAGCTTACTAAAGCGGTTCAAAATAGAGATTAAGGCGACAAGGTGGCTCAAAAATAGCAGTACATCGTTACATTGTCTTTCATGCACTCCATTGACCATACTTTATTTAGTGTTTGGAGATGATATTTCAATGGCTAATGCCCTACCAAAACAATTATCACTTACTGGGATCTCTTTTACTTTGTTTGAGTTAATTTATAGTTTATCCAAAGTTTTGTTCAATCTTTTGTTCAATCAGCCGTTCTACTCGCAAGTCGAAAGTATTCGAAGACCTCAGTACGATCCCAATAGGACCTCAATAGGTAGCAAGTAATTAAGTATTTGAAGTCAATGAAACGATAAAGTCATTTGACAGTGACGGCTTTGGCAATACCTACTACATCTGTCCAAACCAGCTCTCAAGTGATTGAAAGTTTGTTTGGTCACACTAAATATTTAGCAGGTTTTCCTAATGAATTTTTGTATGTCGCAATTTTTTTTATTAATTTAAATCTCGTAATCTAAAACCTTAACGTGGTGAGTAATTAGGTAGTAGTAGTGTCGCAGAGGCTACCTCATGGCAAGTATTATCCATTAACCCGTCTCTAAAATGCTAAAGTCCTCAACTGCTGAGAGTATGTTAATCACGAAACCGCTGGAAATTCATCTACAATATATTCCCCCTCTTCTATTGAAGTATGCTCCTAGTTTAGTCTGAATGTCGTCTTATAAAACAATATCAACGTCAGGATCCCAATTACTTCTCCTTCCGGGAATATAAGCCTCCAAAGTACAAAATGTAGGGCATTCGCTAAGGAAACCTTAAGGTCTCAGATTCATCTTTATCTCTGCAAATTTTGCTGAAATTATTTGAGACGTACACTCAACCCCCTCTGTGTACTTACTCAATAGAAGTTGCCCTGTAAGAAGTCTCATAATTGCAGATATTTTCCATACTTTTTAACGCGTTAAGCTGTTCTTATACCTTATAGAATTCTATGTTGACCAAAGAAACTAGTTACATTGCAACCACTGAGAGTTTTCCGACTTATTTAAGCATCTGTGCTGAATAACTCTCTTGCAGTGAACTTACAATGAGTGAGCAGCCTAAACTCTTCCATGGTGACGAAAGTGGAAAGGAGTTGAAATTTTTTTTTTGCAACGCATAAAGTGATCTATGATAATTCTTTGCTGTTTCCGCATAATGAGTCCAGTGTTTTGTATGCAGCCTGGCATGGGTATCCAAAAAAATTATGGTTGAAATTTACTGAAAGTTTTGAACTTATACCACTGACAGGAAAACCCTTTAGCCGCCAATTTCACTATAGTTATAGGCTGAAGGACTTACTAATGCAAAGCCCTCTTGAGTAGACTCCTCCACCGACCCAAAAGAGTCAAAGAAGATTCATAAATTAAGTGATCACTGGTAGATATGAATCCAGCCTAGTTATATTTCTCATTTGAACTTTCCTTTAGGTACGTGAACTATTCTTTAAAGAAATATGATTTTTTTTATTTTGGAATAATCCCAAGTGGTAAGGATAATACAAATGAAAGAAACACAAGCTGATCTGGTTTAGCAATACAGCAGAAATTGCAGTAAAGACCGAGTTTGAGTTAAAGCCACCGTTGGTTGTTTTTGAATTAAAATCTACTGACTACCAGAGAACGAAGTAGGCTATATATAATATGAACATATAAACAAATTTTGGGATGATATTTAACACAAAAATAATAGCTGGCTATTTTGAGCTCACATTTAGCAAAGCATTCAAGGTAGACCGAAAGTCCAATGGATATGAGAATTTTCCAAAAGATTATTTCTATGAAACTTAAAAAGAAAGGTCAACTACATATGCTATTGATTTGATAAGAAATGCAGAAACATTGATTTTATCAACAATGAGGTAGATTTCTTCCATGAATGCCAATAGAAGACACAAGTCAGCGTTGAAAGAACACATCGATCTTCCCCTACAAAAAACACGCCTTGGAAATTATAATAAATTCTTAACAACCTGTGCTCATGCAGCAACTAATTAAAACTAACTCTTCATGGTTTGAGGAAAAACAAGAATACAAAGACAATAGAATAACAACAACATGACAGATAGTTAAAGAAAATAAATAAATATGCAAAGTGACAAAAAGTGGACACTTTAATAATCATTTGTCAAATCTAATAATGTTTTTCAACACACAGCCGCACGCAGAAGCGGTTATGCAGTAGTAGAATTGAAGGAGAAAAAGAAAAAAACATGAACAATCAAGATAATTCTAAAATTTCAGCTATCACTTGGAGGAGAGGTCAATGCATTGACTGGCGTTTGGCGGAGTTCGAGAGACAGCGCGAGCGCGACCAAAGAAAGACAATCCTTTTTCACAACTTCCAAAGAAAATGACAAGCGATCTAAGGAATTTTCACTAATAAATCAAAATTGCTGCATCAACCACACACACACAAACACCCGCACAGACAAACATGAGGCGACTCGCAAAGTGCGAGTGTCACCAGCGCAATGACTGAGTGGCAGGGAAATCGATAAGGCAAACATGAGATGTATTTTTGAGAAGGCTAGACTATGTACAAACATATATACAAAAGTATAAGAGAGTCCGTGTGAGTGCTTAAAAAAGAGGCTATTGTTTTCTTAGAGGAGCAAAGTGCATTTCGACATTGCAGGAGATGCGCCACATAAATCACGCCCAAAAATACTGAAATTGAAAAAAAAAAACGTATAAAAATAACAAGAACAAAAAGTAGATGCTTCGTTTGTATGTAAATGTAATGATAGTTAGCATGCAACAAACGAGCTGGGCATGCAACATGAGACAAACAAGTAGAGACAGGGCAGCAAAGCGGCTAGGGAGCCAGGCGGGCAAGCGCGCAAGTGCATGGCGGTTCAATGAACGCATAACAACCAGTTTGACCAAATCAAAGGAATTGTGTACGATAGCTAGCGGATGGGCATGCAAATAGCAGATGACAATGCGCGTCTTTGGGTTTACTGATTCAAATTCAAATTCCAATTTCGAAATCGAAAAAAAGGAGCGAAATGCATGCGCGCGCCTACATTTCAATGCTGCCACAAATGACAGCTTTTATCAATTTCGGCGCGTACTCAAGTAGCAGGATGGGAGTAGCCGTTCCAAGAGCAAAATATTGAGCGCAAGAGCTGTTGGAATAAAAGTACAAACAAAATTACAAAAAAAAAAAGTTAAATAAAAGATATTCCAAAAAATCTGCATTGAACGACTACGGGCTGTGCGAGCAGGCAGTCGTCCTGAGGTATGCCCCAAGAAATGCCACCACAGGCAACACAAACACCAGTAACAGTCACAGTAGCAGTCCGCGGCCAATTTGCAACGAAAATGTCCTCAGTAACCCATCATCAACCATCATGTGAACCTTGAAAGGAGTTGAAGAAAAAAGTGGAAGCAAATTTAAAAAAAAAAAAAAACAGAGAATTGAAGAGACACCCAAAGCAATATTTGTTTTGAATAGGAAATTGTGCATAAAAAACGCTTAAAGGTTTCGGAATTCAGCAATGCTGCCAGCAAGCTTGTGGGAGATGCAAATTTTTCGATTGAAAGAGAACACAAAAAAAGAGAGAAAAACTATTTTTTTGCTTATTCGAAACTGATGCTTTTGCTGAAAGTTGAAGATAGCAACGATAGCCTTCGTTGGTCGATACGCCGGAAGATGCAGATGCAGATGCAGATACAGTTGACATTGGCGTTGGCGATGACGAGCTGATGACGATCCGTTGATGGCGTTGAACTTGAAAGTTGAAAATGCAAATGGGCGAAGAACCCAAGCCAAATGACAGGCCAAGTGCACTTGAACCCTCTAGTTCAGAGTAGTTTGTTTGGCAGTCTCTGAGGCTGCAAGCTAGTGCTTGGGACGACCTCCTCCCTTATACTTTTTTTCGCTACAGAAAATATTCCATTTTATTTTGCTTTACTTAAGAATATACGCAAAGCCAATTTGAATATCGTCGTTAGTTTGTTATACATACATACATACATACGTACAACTGTGTATGTGGCATACAAATATCTGAGCTATGACAATGCCACATATTGACTCCGTAAGCAGCGCAGCGCAGCGCATCCACAAGTGATTGTCCTTCCACCAAGCCTGCGATGCCTTGTGCTCCGTACGCGATTGGCAATGATGAAATGTAGTCAAGTTGAAAAGTGTCACTTGAGTTATGGTTTCATTGTTTTTATTATTCTCTGCTTCGGCATCATTGCGCCGCTCTATTTCGTCATTTCA